TATGTCTTATCTATGGAATATTTTGAATCAAAGGAGGATGTCCCAACCAAAAAACACATAAATATTCACATATTTAACAAAAAATGAGGGCACAAAATAAGCATTAATTAGAAGAATATTTCCAATATGCAGGCTGATATTTTTAAAATTTTTCACCTCAATTTAGCTTCAATAAATAGAAAAAGAACTTTCAATGACAATTGAAATTGAAATTAGAAGGTTTTGTGAAGCAACATATAAAATAATTTAATCATAAATAGTGTAGATTAGCAAGACTTGACTATATCAAAGACAAAGAAAATTTTAAACCTCAGACTATAAGTGAAAATACGTATTTGTGCCACAGTTTAAAATGTAGCTAACAAGATAAAGCACATCTAAAATTAATGGCAAAATGTCACTTAAAATCATATTTCAAATATGGCAGTTCTATGATCATTATTATTGTAGCTTCGGAGCCCACAATTTTGCATTTTCCCAAGCAATTTTAATGTGAACATTTGAGTTGGCACTGGATGGAATAAAATATATGATCCATTTCTACTCACTTCTCACATTACTTCAAGTCTGGCCAAAGCATCTATATAAAATCATTCTAATATGTTATTATAAATCATTCTCCCTGGTCTTTTTTCTTTTTTTTCCACCTCTCTACATTTATTGGGCCTCAGAGAATAGCGTGACACTGGAAGTCAGAGGCTTCCACTTATACTTGCATGATAAAATGTTCTATCTTTATAGTCATACTTTATTTATTCATGCATTTCTGACTTAACAACAAATCTGTCTTTAGCTGACAGAGCATGTTATTATAATCTAGAAGAGAAGAAGCCCAGTGGAGTCAATGATTTCATGAAAGAATTGAAAAACACAACACTTCCATACCTTTAACTTTCAGAATCATTCTTAAGATGTTTTAGTTTTCCCTGGCACATATGTGGAAAGAGAGAACATTCCCTCACACAAAAAACAGATGTTTATTTTGGATTTGCTATGAGAGAGCATCAAAGCTACACTACAAGGAAAATAATGCTAAAGAGGATGCAACGTCATCCACCACACATAGAACAGGGAAATTCTGAAAACTTACTTACCATGGAGCAACTAATTTTTTTTATTTTTTTATTTTTTTTGAGACCGAGTCTCGCTCTGTCGCCCGGACTGGAGTGCAGTGGCCGGATCTCAGCTCACTGCAAGCTCCGCCTCCCGGGTTTACGCCATTCTCCTGCCTCAGCCTCCCGAGTAGCTGGGACTACAGGCGCCCGCCACCTCGCCCGGCTAGTTTTTTTGTATTTTTTTAGTAGAGACGGGGTTTCACCGTGTTAGTCAGGATGGTCTCGATCTCCTGACCTCGTGATCTGCCCGTCTCGGCCTCCCAAAGTGCTGAGATTACAGGCTTGAGCCACCGCGCCCGGCAACTAATATTTTTTTTTAAAAAAAGCTATGAATAAAGACTAGCATCTCATTGACATGCCTAAAGTCTGTAACATACATTACAGACTGTTGGTTATTATTTGAATAGAAATCTTTTTCCTCCCCTCTTTAGGCTGCTGTTTGCTACCCCTGCCTTCTCTGTTACTATTCACGTAGAATATATTTTTCCATAACTTCACCTTCAACCTATTCTTCTTTGGATCTAAAGTTCATCTCTGGTAGACAGCATATGATTGGCTCATGCTTTTTAAAAATCCATTCTACCAACCTCTCTGTTTTGATTGGAGAGTTTAATCTATTCATATTTAAAGTAATTACTAGTGACTTCTGTCATTTTGCTATTTATTTCCTATATAGTTTCTTATTGCTTTTTTTGACCATTATTTCTTACATTACTGGTTTTCATGTGTGTATAGTTGGCTTAATTTGAATTTATACTAACGTAACTTTAATAACATACAAAACTGCTCATCTACAGCTCTGTCCCAATCCCTCTCAGTTACATCTTTGTACATTGTGTGTCCAAAAACAAAAGCTAAGAATTATTTTAATGCATTAACAAAAATATGTTTTATAATGTATTTTAAATTCTAAAACAGAGTCCAGAATGGAATATACTTTGCCTTTTTGTAGATGTTAAACTTCTAATAGCACTTGTTAGTCAGTAATACAAGCATGGTAGAATCAACATACATAATCACTTACCAGCCTTTATCAGTGCTCTGGTGCAGGTTTGCTTAGGGTATCATTTCATATTTTATGTGATTTTTTTAATATTTGATATTTGCTGAACACTATATGAATTTTTTACTTTGAATCCTACATATATTGGCTACCTACAAAATTAAAAAATAAAAGTCTCTAATATCATAGTTAGAAATACACATACACACACACATACACACATCTAAATATATATGATTCACTTCCTCCATAAGCAGTTGAGTATCTATAGTCTCTGAACATTGTTTTAGGAGCCAAGGTTCTTAGATTCATTATGATGCATAAAAATCTCTGGTCTTGAGAATTTATGTTTCATACACAAAGACAAAAAATGAGCAGGCAAAAACGAATAAGATAAACTTTAAGAGGACAAATAATATTCCATTTATTTAGCCTTTTAAAAAAGGAAATATTTTCATTTCTGACAATATGGATGAACCTGGAGGACATTATGCTAAGTGCAATGTTAGACACAGAAAGACAAATACTGCATGATCTAACTTATGTGTGAAATCTGCAAACATTGAACTCATAGATGCACAGAGTGAATAGTAGTTGCCAGGGGCTATGGAGTAGGGAGTAAATGTAAAGATGTTAGTTAAAGGGTACAAAGTTTTAGTTAGGCAGGTTGAATTATTTTTGTAGGTCTCTTATACAGTATTGTGACTATCTGTACCTGATTGTGGAGTGAGTAAATCTTAAATGTTTTTACCACAAAAAAGTATGTGAGGTGATAGATATGCTAATTAGCTTGATTTAATGTTTTCACAATGTATACATGTAATCAAAACATCACATTGTTCCCTATAAATCCATATAATTTTTGTTTGACAACTATACTTCAATACGTCTTGGAGAAAAAAGAAAAAAATTAGCTTTTTTTTTTTAACGACCCTCATTTTCAAACTCCGCAGCTCTTCTTCAGTATGCCTAGTCATGCTTTCTTCTTTTATTCATTACAACTCTTCCATTAAAATATGTGCACTATGTGCTTTCATCAACTTCAAAGGAGTTGTGTGGTAGCAGTTACTCTTTGTTTTATTATTATTTTTTTAATTTAAGGAATGATGACTAATATGAAAGCTTCAATGAGTAACAAATGAAATAGTTGTGTTAAAATGTTAGATGAACTCGGCCAGGTGCGGTAGCTCATGCCTGTAATCCCAGCACTTTGGGAGGCCTAGGTGGGCAGATCACTTAAGGTCAGGAGTTGGCGGCCAGCCTGGCCAACATGGTGAAACCTTGTCTCTACTAAAAACACAAAAATTAGCCAGGCACAGTGGCACGCACCTGTAATCCCAGCTACTCAGGAGGCTGAGGCAGGAGAATCACTTGAACCCAGGAGGTGGAAGTTGCAGTGAGCCGAGATTGCGCCACTGCACACAGGCCTGGATGACAGAGCCTTACTCCATCTAAAAAAAAAAAAAGTTATACGAACTCCGAAATATATGTTCTATAGTTATTATGAACCACTGTGTACTATGCATTGGTCACCATATCAGGATAAGAATACAAATAAACGTAAATAATTTTTCATGATTAATAATAATAACTAATTTCCTTTTGAGCCCTTGTTCTTAAGCCAAGAAGAATACCTAAATAAACAGTTAAATTTTGCAAATGAATAAAAGGTCTCAGAGCAATAGCTACCTTAAAGATAGCTTGATGGACATGTCTTCTAGCATTTATATGTTGAACTTATTCAGGTTTCCAGTGTTCTGAAGGAGGTTCCTGCTGGATGTTAACGGGCTACTTTCACTCTTTTAGGATACATTAATTCAGAACATTTTGAAGGAGAATACAAGTTCCAGATTAATCATGTTTCTTTCTTACTGTAAAAATCTCATGTTGGAGTGGTTTTACAAATATTCTCAGCTTTTTACTTCTTCCATAAATAATTGAGTGTCCATGGTCTCTGAACATTGTTTTAGGAGCCAAGGTTCTTAGATTTACTCTGATATGTAACATCTCTGCTCCTGAGAATGCATGTTTTATACACAGAGACAAAAAATAAGCAGGCATTAACAAATAGGATAAACAATATATTGCAACGTATACTCTGCAATGTGCAATCCATTTAGATAACTAAAAGCTTGCTATATGAAACTAAAAGAGATGAAAGTTTATTGAAATTGTGATATATTGACGAACATTTGGGTGGTAAACTAGAATTATTTCTTGCCTTGTTTTATCAATTCATATTATGACAGGTTGATGTAAAGGGCATAATATGCTTTGTTACACTTTATTCCTTAAGTATCAATCAGTCTGTCTCCCTCTGCTCTATGGAGTCCATCATTGTCCCCAGGAAGTTGAGAAATGCCACTTCAGCAAGTAGAGGTGTGTAAAGACGGATAGGAAGAGATGAAAAAGGCCCTGACTTGACAAGTTTATAGAGAGAAGAAAGAGAATGAAAGTATATCTTAACCTTCCTGGCCTGGCCAAGTTTCCCACTGGAAGAGATTCAGTGGATACCTAAAAGGGAGAACTAAAAAGCTTAGGGGTTTTGCTACACTTCCCACTGAGAGCCACAGAAAAGATTGCCTGGCAAAGGATCCACCTCTCAAGAGTCAGAAGGAGGTATATGTTGGTGATGGAGTTGTTTGGTTGACTTGTCCAGAACACAGATCGAGGTAAAGGCTGAAAGTGAACTAGGCAGGCTGGAAACTAAATGAGAGCCCGGCTTTGGTAAAATGTGCAACACCAGGAAAAGAGTAGTGAGGTTGAGTCCTGACTGAGGGAAGAGAGAGAGAGTGAGAGAGAACAAGAAAAGGGAGATGCAGGCTGCCAACGTTGACAAGGAAAGATTCGACTAGACAGACAAGTAATAGTAACACTTGTACCTTCAAGACCAGAGAGAGAAGACCCAGAGTGTTTTCCAATGACCTTCAACTAGATCTGAGGCTCCTTCAACTCTGCTGCAAGGACTTCATAAGCACCTCATGTTCCCAGGTACTATATGAAAAAGAAGGAGGGATAAGCAAAGATTGAGCATTTACCTGAAAAATCCACTATAAAGAGAAAGTAAGTCATTTCAACAAGAAAAGAGCTAGAAAACAAATAGGAAGTTTGTTTTTCCCTGGTGTTATTTGAGTTGCATAGTTATAAGGAAATGTCATCAGTTATAGTAAATCGTTTTGTATTCTGAATAGCACATCGAGGGACCTTTGACTCAGTAACATTCAGCCAGGTTTTTTATTTTTAATTTTTCTGTTATGCAATGGAGAACTCAAAATTATTTATTTTCTGCAAACAAAACAGTGTCTCTATTTTAGTAACTTATATGTTGTAAATAGAGTTAAGTAGTGGTTTTTTCAATCACATTATTATAGGATTAAATGTTGGTTTAAAATATTGTTGTTGGGTATTTATTATAGACAAATTCTTTTCTGCAAATGTAATACATTAAAAGTGATCATTTTAATAAACTGGATACATTTACTTCCCAACTTTATTTAGGCAGCATTAAAATACATATAGTTTAAAACATTTTAAGTATTTTTTATTAGAGAGGCGTAATAATAAACTCTGAAGAATCCTAAAGGTTACAGAGAAAATCAACTGCATTTTTAGTATATGGTAAATTATATATTATCAATTCACAAACCTGTGTTGTACTTGCAGCACAAAATATGTCATAAATATTTCTACATGCAAATTGAATATTTAATAAAGAAAATACTAACAGTGGCTATTACTTGACAAAGGCTTATTTGTAATTTTTGTCTTTCTTTGTGAGCTTTTCTGTCTCTAAATTTCCTACACTTAACCTGTCATTATTTTTGCAACAAAAAAATTAAACAATCAAGCATACATATATGTTATATTTTTAATCATTAATATGAGAGAAATAATACAAATTTTTGAAAAAGACTATAAACCGTAGGGAGATACTAAACTAATTTGATGAGGTATGTACACTTGTTCATTAAAATAAACCCTGCTTAACATTTCTACCTACTTTATAGATGTTATCTCTTAATCCTAATTTTAAATTATGTTAATTTTTACAGTCTCTAGCAGTTACTTATTATTTTTCAGCAGTGTTAGTCCTGCACAGAACTAATAAATATGCATCTGCATATTTAACCCTTCTCTGGTTATCCTTGGAATAATATATAAACATTATTAGGAAATGCTCATTAATTCATTGCTTTGAGGTTGATATTGAGGTGATTTGGTTTCAGACATATGTGAGTTTGTGCAGACACAAGCAAACTCAAAGTGACAGATTTATGTATGAGGTAAAGGCCAAGCAGAACGAGTGGCAGGGACTGAGATTTCCAACCCTAGAAGGATTTATACTAATTTTGATTGACCCCTTGTAGCATACATTGTAGTAAGTATTCAAATATGAACAAAAGACTAGAATATAGATTGCTTAAAGTCTCTTTGAGATTATAGGAAAAGAGTGAAATCTGTGTCACTATAAGTAGCAGACACATTTGGTTGGCTGGTTCTATGATTTTAGGAAATGAAGCCCCAAACCTCCAGGCTGGTATGAGCACTTCAGCTCACATAGGCCCCACTATTCCCTGATATTTTAACCCTGCCTTATTTACATATATATGTATGTTATCATGTATACCACGATAAGTACTTATATTTCTGTTCCTTCTTGGAGAAGTTTTCATAGTTCTATAAACAATAAAACATAAAATTGAGAGCAAGATATTTCATCTGTTTTGTTTACTGCTATATCTTCAGCAAGGAGAACAATGTCTTGAATATAGTGATGCCTCAAATCTTGTTAAATCATCAAATAATAAATATAATACCCATTTTCTATTCTAAATCCTTGCAGAAAGACTATATTAACTATTATTTTTCACAATAATCTTCATATATTTTCTCACAGAACTTACTCCACTTAGCAGTCAGGACAAATTAAAAATCAGCTACTTGTATTTTTCTTATTAAATTTACTGTCATGATTGCTAATGAAACCTCTTATCAACTCTAAATTTTCTCTAAGGTTTAAATTCAGAAATTTTAATTAAATTCCTAAGTAAATTGACACCGAATATGGTTTGGCTGTGTCCCCACCCAAATCTCATCTTGAATTTTAACTCCCATAATTCCCATACGTCATGGGAAGAACCTAGTGCGAGATGACTGAATTATGGGGTGGGTCTTCCTTTCACTGTTCTCATGATAGTTAATGAGTCTCATGCAATCCGATGGTTTTAAAAAAAACACCTCTCCCCCGCCCCTGAAAATTATGAATGATATAACAGGACAGTTTACACTTGCTGTGATATTGTCAGTACTATCATCTTCTCCCATCCCCTGAATATTATGAACAATATCATAGGGGGTTGTACAACCCCTGCCATATTCAGAGTAATATCATCTTCTCCTCCCCTGGATATTATGAACAATATCAAAGGAGGGTGTACACACCCTGAGAAATTGGGAGTAATATCCTCTGCCACACTGGATATTATGAACAATATTACAAAAAAATGTACACAAAGTGTGTTTACAATATTGGGAGTAATAACATCTTCCTCGCCAGATATTATGAACAATATCACAGTAGGGTGTACACTCCCTGTGATACAGGAGTAATATTATCCTCTCACTGGATATTACAAACAATATCGCAGGGGTGTGTACATCCCCCGCGATATGTGGAGTAATATCATTTTCTCTCCCACTGAATATTATGAACAATATCACAGGGGGGGTGTACATAGCAGGAGATATGGGAGTATCATCATGTCCTCCCCCGTGGATATTACAAACAGTATCGCAGGGGTGTGTACATCCCCGGCGATATGAGGGGTAACATCATTCTCCCCCTCCCTGGATAATACGGACAATATCGCAGGAAGGGGTGTACACCCTTTGCAATATGGGGATTAACATCATCCTCTCCCCGCCTGGATATTACAAACAATATCTCATACACCCCCCGCGATATGGGGAGTAACATAATCCTCTCCTCTTATGGATATCACGAACTATATCGTAGCGGGGTGTACACTCACTGGGATATAGTGAGAAACATCATCCTCTCCCCTTTGCATATTGCAGACAACATTTCCAGAAAGTTTACACCTTCTGCGATATGGAGAGTAACATCATCCTCCCCCCTATCCTGGATATTATGGATATGTATACCCCACTGCGATATGAGGAGTAACTTCATCCTCTCCCTTTCTTGATATTACGGACAATATGGCAGGGGAGTGTACACCCCCTGGAATATGTGGAGTAACATCATCCTCTCTCCTCTTGGATGTTACGGACAATATCACAGGAAGGTGTATACCTCCTACGATATGGGGAGTAGTATCATTCTCTCCCCCCAAGATGTTATGGACAATATCACACAGGGTTGTACACCTTCTGCGATATGGGGAGTAATATCATCCCCTCACCCTCTGGATGTTACAGACAATTTCACAGGGGCGTGAACACTCCCTGCAATATGGGACGTAATATCATCCCCTCCCCCACAGATGTTATGGACAATATTACAGTGGGTGTAAAATCCCTGTAATTTGAGGAGTAATATCATCCTCTTCCCCCGTAGGTGAAATGGACAGTATCGCAGTGGGGTGTACACACTTTGCATTATGGAGAATAGTATCATCCTCTCCACCTCGGATGTTACGGACAATATTACAGGATATATACACACCCTGCGATATGGGAAGAAATATCATCCTTTCCACCGTGGGTATTACAGACAATATCACAGGGGAGTGTACAGGCTTTGCGACATTGGAAGTAATATCATCCTCTCCCGCCCTGGGTATTTGGAACAATATCACTCGGGAGGGGGGGGCGTACACCTCCTGCGATATTGGGAGTAATATTATCTTCTTTCCCCTGGATAGTAGAAACAATATCACGAGTAGGGTGTACACCCCCTGAGCTATTGGGAGTAATATCATTCTATTTCCCCCTGTATATTAGAAACAATATCACAGGAAGGGTATACAATCCTTGCGCTATTGGGAGTAATATCATCCTTTCCCCCTGGATCTTAGGGACAATATTTCATGGGGGTGTACTCTCTCTGCGATATTGGGAGTAAGAACATCCTCTCCCCACTGGATATTAGTAACAATATCACAAAGGGAGTGTGCCTCCTCTGTGATATTGAGCATCATATCATCCTCTACCAACATGGATATTAGGAACAATATCACAGAAGGGGTGTACACCGTCTGCGGTATTGACAGTAATATCATCATCTCCCCTTTTGAATATTAGGAACAATATCACAAGGGGCGGTATGCACCGCCTGCTATATTGGGAGTAATATCATCCTTCCCTTCCCTGAATATTACGAACTCTATTACAGAATGGTGTACACCCCCCTGCAATATTGAGGGTAATATTATCTTCTCACTCCCCTGGATATTATGAACAGTATCATGGGGGATAGACAACCCCCCGCCATATTGGGAGTAATATCATTTTCTCCCTCAGTGGATATTACACAAAAAATCACGGGGGGTGTACACTCCTGCAATATTGGGAATAATATCATCCTCTCCCCCTGAAAATGATAAACAATATCACAGGGGACTGTACACTCCCTGTGATATTGGGATTAATATCAACCTCTCCCCTCACCTGAAAATTATAAACAATATCACAGGGGAGTGTACACTCCCTGCAATATTGGGCATAATATCTCTCTCTGCCACCTCAGATATTACGAACAGTATCACAGAGGATGTACACACAAGATGTTTACCATATTGGGAGTAATATCATCTCCCCCCCCGGACATTACTAACAATAGCACAGTAGGGTGTACACCCTCTGCAATATGGGGAGTAATATCCTCTCCCCCTGGATATTACGAATATGGCAGGGGTGTGTACACCTCTGCAATATCCGGAATAATATTATTTTCTCTCCCCCTGAATATTACGAACAATATCGCAGAGGGGTGTACATGCCCAGCGATATGGGTGGTAACATTATCTCCT